ATCGTTCGATAGGCTAAATTGCACAAAACGCATGATCGCACCGGCTAGTCTGGTGCGCGTTGCTATTTATTTTAATTTTAGATGGTGTGTGTTTATGTAAAAAGTAAGGGAATAAAAGGGAATGTGAATAAGTTAAATCTGAATAAAAACCTGAATAGGAATATTTCGATCCATCAAGTCGCATACATTCCTGTTCACTGCTGCAACTGGACCTCGTCAGTGTGACGGCTGCAGCAAAAATAACATGCAATGTGTCAAAAAGGAAAAGGAAAATTAAGATAAATTAGAAAGATTAAAGCAAAGGTTAAAAGTGCACGTTATAAAACAGTACCTCCACCACTGCGAATGTTGTACTGGAGTTGTACCTGTAAAGTAAGTAAAATAAAAGTGGAACCTTAAATCTGAGGTAGAGATAAGAGAATCGGACAATTCTTATTAAAAATTAAGGAAAAACCCATAGCCTATGTTAAAAAACTTAAAAGGAAGAATATGAAGAACGGCTGAAGATCGGAAAGTAAAGGCCGACACCCTGCATAAGATGAATAGATGAAGATGAAGAGGGGAGTAGTGCGAATGTGGCAGGGATCAGAAAAAAGGAAGTGGGTAAATTAGATAAATAATAATAAAAAAGAAGGAAAAAAGAAGGGCTAAAAAACAGAAAGTTTATTTAAAATATTACTAATGTTAATGTAATTAGGATAAAAATATTTAGTAAAATGCAATCTTTACCGAATTAAAAAAATTCAGCCTCTCAGCTTTTTTGGTTCCAGAGCTGGCGATCTTCGTGCCAGGAATCCTTACGGGGCCGTACGTGGGAACTACGCATACGTGGGGCCTGAACTTAAAATCTTTGAGTTCTATGTGGACGGGGAACATAATTCCAAAATTTCAGCTTCCTAGCTTTTCTGATTCTCTAGTTAGCGATTTTCCGGCCAAAACATTGAGGCGCTCGTACGCGGGGCCTAGACGTGCTTGAGGATTGGTATCGCGGCCCTGGGGTGGCATTTGGCCCGGGAACACACTCGCAAGATTTTGGAGCCGGAGCTTGCTTGGGTGCCGAGTTGAAATACCGGACAGACACACACATACACATACCGGGGTCGCCACAATGTGCGTTTTTGCATATGTGCAAAAACGCATAATTAGCTGTTCATAGCTGTGTCTCCGACTGGATACGAAACTTGAGCTTAAGACTATACAAGCAGAAAGAATTAAAATAACAGCAGGCATCAAAAATTTGACGCTCTCTTACAGCTTATAGTTCTTCGCAGTAGATACTCTAAGCATACTTTTAACCGGCAGGCGTTGTAGTCTAGTAACAAAAGCTGGCGGGAAGAGGATTGTTGTTCAAAACACAAAAATGACGTCGTAGAACAACTAAAGCTCTGCCAAGTGCTTCTTTCGAATGACCGTTAGGCTAGAAATCTCAGCCACCTGGGTCGTTAGTAAGCGAAGCAGTAGTGGTCAAAGAGATTGGAAAAGTCATCTGTTTCATAGCTAGAGAACCACCGCGAAACCGGCCAAGGTGTCAGAGTAACAAAATAGGTATTCAAGTATGCACTGGGTGAATGCAGAAATATACAGATAGAGTGAGATGAGATAGCATTTTAACGATCTTTTGGTCCAACCTGAGCACATTCAAAATGCCAGAAGTTGAGTTTGTAGACTGTTCTGCCTTGAACTTATAATAATAAATTTTATTTGAAGGAAAATCACACGCCACGGAACAGCAAATTCTGGGAGCTGGCTTGGTGTCTGTCCTCTTCTACCAACTGGTAAACTAAGACTATAAACTCCGATTTTGTAATCCAATCCGTTTTACAATTTTTAAGTTAGCCTCAGCTTGTGCTTGCGCAATGAAATTTCAAATTTTCGCTGCGTCAGTTGAACGATTCATATTTATTTGCAACAATTGTTCAAATGCAGCAGTAGCGCAGCCAGGATCAAAGTGAAAGAAACGAAGGACCATATTTTCTTCCAAAAGCAGTGTAATAAGTTTTTTTTTTCATTTGGAATTTTTTTTATTATTTCGACATATCACTTATTAAATTTTCGCGAGTTATGCCAATAAATTTGCATTGATATCTTGATAACCAGTATCCAAAATTACTTTATTCTTCCGAAGAATTGAATTTTAAGAGCGCTTCATCCAACAAAATTTGACAGGCATCTTTTCTTTTTCTTGCAAGAAAATCTTGGTTGGAGAACCGGAGTGTTTTGCAAGTAAACGCATCGCTGCGCATTTCACGTTTTGGAGGCGCTAAAACAAAAACTGGAGAGGGGGAAGCTGCAGGCAAAAAATTGCATTCAGCTTGATTTTCTTTTTTGTTCCTGCATTGCTGACAGTTGAATGATTTTTGTCATTCGAAGACACTAGAATAATAAATCCAGTCCCAGTTAGGTGCAACCTTTAAGGTGGGAAATTCACTTACCAAAAGGGGCGTAGAAGTTTACTAGAGACATAACGCAGACTTAGCAAACAAATGAACGCGTGGGCTAGGATTTTCGCTTAATATTACACAGTGTATAGAGAATTCTTCAAATGTCAAGTTTG